CACAGCAGCGAATGTGAATTATGATGGATCTTCATGACGTCTCTCTTTCTCTCATCAAGGCGAATCTAAACTCGAATGTGTCAGCGCAGTTTCGGTTAACCAAATAAACAGCTCATCATTTACCTTATCATTTAGTATCATCAAATCAACGATTTAACAATCAGGTGGATTTACCTTGACAAAGAAACATTTGATTACCAAATTAAACCATATGATTTGATCATCAATTGTCTTCATAGATGCAAGAGAAAAAAATAAATATCTATAAAACTAAATAGTTGATTAATTGTAATTTCGTTGCTCATTAGCACTAGTAATTAATCAGAGAAGCAAACTGTTAACCGATAGACTCAAACGATTCACAATTGACGACATGGTCAATTGTTTCATTAACGAGCTGATTGTTAGACAGGATTAAATTGTCAATTATCAACAAGACCAGTTGATAATCCAATCTATTAGTCACATTGATTATCATTAATTTTAATTGTTTCACTTACATTGTAAAACTTGATTTCTATTTGTATGTTACTGAGATTGATGATTCTTGCGTTTAAAGTGATTATCATTGATCAATTACAACCTTGTCTTTTGATAAAAACAAACATGATTATGATTTTAATTATGATTATGATTGAGATGATCTCACCAACAATAATAATAATCAGATAAATGAATAAGATTGTTTGTTTACAATTATTATTACAAAGGAGGGTTAGTAAATTAATCAACTGACCCATGAGGGTCATTCATGAGAGTTAATCAAAAGTGATTATCACCGATATTTAATTTCAGTTAACAACGAGATTAAATAATAACTTCCATTGGTTGAATGTCCAATTGAAACAATTAAACTTTCTTTTCTTCAACGATTGTTGATTAACAAACTACCGATCATCTATCATCATCAACGGGATTGCAAACTCTTGCTGTGGACACTGGACACTGGACACAATAGACTAATTGTTTGATTAACAATCGTTAAGATCGGGAAGGGTAACAACCCATAAATTGATTGTTACTAATTGAATAATGTTAATCAACTTGTTTCCTTCAATATTCAATCCCATTGATTACATCCTAACTTCACCTTCTTTTAATTACTTGATTGATTGTTATTCTTAATTACAATGACCTTTTAATACATTGAAAATGTAAATGTACAGTAAATTTAAGTCTTTTGGTATAATCAGTTTCATTTTTATCATTAACCAGATCAAATTAATTCAATTGCGGCATCAAATGGCTATTATTGTTTTCTTACTGGTATCAAATTAATCATCATTAATAATGGTCAACGTTAATCAATGACCAACAATCAACATTGCAATAGAGTATTTATTATTAATAGTGAATATGTACAATAAAAACAAGAAACCACAGTAATTTAATTCAATCAATCAGAATTTAACTATAATCTCTTCCTTGTTCAATTTAATTTACATGGTTAATTATACTCTTTTCAGACAATAGAGCTTCAATTCAAAATTTCTGTGACTAAATTATCTTAATTGTTTCCATCGCTTTCCAATTTCTCTCTTTGATTATCCACAATTGTTCTGAATCATCATGAAATAATCTTATTCACCGCCAACAATTTAATCCAAGACCATAGAATTAGTTAGTTACCTAGTTGAATTATTTAAGTTAATTTTAATTGTAATGATGGAAAAAAATATTGAAACTTTTTAATCATTAGTTATTGTAAGTATCGAGTGAAAATTAGAACCATCATCGAGCTGTTTAGATTCTGGCTTTAACATTTCTGGAGATCTTTGAAATCTATAGAATATTCAATAAAGCTGAATTACAATTTCGACGATTCTTTAAATTCTTAGAACGATTAAACTATTTGTTGTTAAAATAAACGTCAATCGAATAAAATGAATATCGATCTAGTTCAAAATGATGAAGAGATTTAACCTTGTGGATTTTTTATCAATTAAAACAGAATTTGGATCAAAATCAGATTCAATTAATCGTCTAGTTTAGCCATGAATGAGAAATTTTTTTATAATTTTCCATGAGGGTTGATAATGAGTTTAATTCATGGAGCAAGTTTGTTCCTTGAATTTCCTAAATAGATGCATGATGATCTTAAAATTTTGAAAAATTCTTGCCAGATACTTGAGTGTCTATGATGTTTTCTCAGAGCAATAATAATGATGAATATTATTTTAAACTTGGGTCAATAGGTTTTGGCTTTGAGCCAATGTTGATTTCGTTTGTTGATTGTAATTGTAATTTAATTATGTTAATAATGATGACTTGTAAACGAAAGACTGGATCCATTGAAAGATCAATAATTCAAAATTTTGTTCATTTTCACGGAATCAGTTACTCAGAATAAACAATTCTGACAAGTGAATCGAATTCATATCAATTAATGCAATTGAAATCTTCTTAAAGTCTCAGAAAACTGAAAAATATTCTATTTAGACAATTAAGTTGCAGAAAGTTAATGAATTTTTTAATTTGGTTGTAATTACCTAATTTTTTTCTTTATTTCCACAGCAATTGTACCACTTCAATATGGAACCAATAAACTCGCTTCTCAAAAAGGCATTCGATTTGGTGGTGCTCGTGACATCTTGCCCAATGTTCAATACAAATCAACCGATAAGCCTGAGGAATAATTGTCTTAACCACAATCAAACTGTTAATTATAACAATTATCACCAAAGAGCAAAAATAAAGAGAAACTAACAATTTCAATCAATCAGCTTGTTAAGATCAATCAATGGATGAAAATTAAAACCAATCGACAATATTGATGGAAACAAATATCCGAAATTTAATAATATTCAATGATAAAAATTAATACTTTTCATTCAATACAATCAATTTATTGGATAATCACAATTATATTTAAGAAATAAGAAGACAAGTCCATCATTGTCAACAATCAGTTTTAATTGCTTTCGAAAGTCTTAAACTGACCATTTAATTTTCTGTTTTGCCTTAATGTTTACCTGTTATCTGAAAACAAAGATTGTAATCGATTAAATCAAGTGAACAATTAAAAAAGTCACAAAAGTAATCACAATTAACGTTCCAGTCATTAGCGATAACATCAGGTCTTCAACCTTTGTCCATATGAGCCAATCCTAATACTTAATATTACTAAATAGTAATCAAAGAAGCGTAAGAACAAGTTATTAATACAATCAAGTGAGTGATTAAGTAATAAATATTTGATTAATTAACATTGATAATCTCAATTTCATATTTATTTTTATCAATAGTTGATCGCGATTTAGTTAAGTAAAGGATTAGCTTTGCATCGTTGATGATTAGCTTAGACTATTAGGATCAATTGATCAGATTAACAGATCTTATAACTTATCTAATCATTTCCTTGTTTAATGATTACTGATTTAGTTTGTATTATCTAATGATCGTAATTAATACAGATACAAAGCTGATTTGATTGATAATAATCAAAGTAAATCTTTGGTTATTAAAAAAACAAATAATAGAAACTATTGCTAATCACCTAATCGTTATACAACAATTAAGATGATTAAATTTAAATCCAAAGGGAGATTATCAACTCAGATTGAAGGGTAAGTTTATTCTCACTTGATTGTATTATTAATAATAATGATAAAGTAAAATGTTGATTAAAGTAAAGGTTAATTTGTTTGAGCATAATTTGTTAACCTGGAGCAATTTAATTATAATTTAAAAATCAGAAATGAAACAATTGGCAGAAAGCTCAACTAGTAGTAGTCATGATTAACTAAAGTGATAATTTAATCAAGTTAAAACGATTAAATATGCAAATCAATTCCATGAATATAATGAGATGAGTTATCATGGTTGAGAAAATTGTGATGATTTAATTGTTGATTGAAACTTAATTGTTATTCCTGTGTGAAAACTAACAATTTGTTTGTTCATTAATCAATTTGAAATAAATAACAAAGTGTGATTCTGATCAACAAGATGATGAATTCGATAACGATGATACAATCAATTAAAAGCCATTTAATCACAATGAGACAAATGATTAAAACTTATTTGAATATGTCTATCAAATCAATAATAATCTAATGAGAATCAAGAAAATTGTTAATGATTAACTTTTATTGTTAATCGATTGATAAAAATAAATAATCTTTCTATGGAGACTGAGGTCATCTTTTTATCCAAACTGACCTTCAGAATTGACCATGATATTGATAAACATGTAATTCCTTTCAAATTAATTCCTATGGTGAAATACTGATTATTGTTTCCGATGAAAATTTTCAACGAAAAATTATCAACATTATAATTTGATGGCGATTATGATGATTACCTTGAAAATTTGAAGAATTAAACTTTTTTCGTTTAGTTCATGTTTTGATTGAATTTCTACTGAGAATTTAATTGTCGAGTGTAACCATTTGTTTATTAACTTTACGATAGTTTACTCATTGAACAAACATAATTAAACTAATCAGAACTTTTCAAAAGGCTTTCGAACCCTCGAAAAACTAATTGTTCGTTTGTTTTCAATCGTTGGTGTTCATGAGTAAATCAAACAAATGAATTTATTGATTAACTCATTAAACAGCTGGAATCATGAATATCAATCATCGCAATCAATAAGATCAATCAAAATTAATAATCTTCGATTAGGAATCCAATTTGCAATTAGTAAATTCATCTTTCTAGTAATTCACTGAGGTCAACGGGAAGTTTTTTCGTCAGCGATTTGATTACTGTCCAGAAGATTGGAAAGCAGTGTTCTGCCACCTAGTAGTTTGTTACTCCTTGATTAAGATATTGTTTTCCAATTGTAACAATTAACAATCTATATCATTAACCCGCTCCTGGATGTTTCATTCATTACAGGAATTGCTTTTTTGGGAGGGTCTTTTCATTATCTTCTCCACCTTCCTCTGTGTAACTCTTTTCTCCTCCTTGATTATCTTCTTACCTTCAGCATCATCTTCACGATGCTCAGTAAATTTCATATCCATTCATAAAAAACTCAGAAAGTTCCGTATTGACCAATCCTTTGGTGAGACCATGTTCATCAATATCATTACGTCAACAAATTTGTTGGTTTAAGAATCGGACTCAACTGACCAAAGGTTTTCATTCAAGATTAATTATTCAATTGATTCACTTCAATTTAATTTTATTCAACAATTAAAACTTTCTTTTATATCTGTTGACAAATAAAAACAATTACCAAATATTAAATGTGACCAAATGCTAATTAATGATAATAACATCGGAATCAATTTCTCACCACAGTATTAGTATTTTACTCCAATATTTATATTATTAATATATTGAATCAAATCATTAACCATTGGTGAACTAAGTGATAATCAACTGAATCAATTCAACGTTATTTCATGAATAGACTTTAATAAATATCAACGAAATTAGTTGGGTAAGTAAAAAAAGTTTCTTCTTCATCCATTTTTCATAATAAGCACATGAATTAATATAATCGTCTTGATTTAATTATTGCTCTTATATTGTTTCACATTTCACTGATTCTCCTCTAATTATCATCATGATTTAAGTTTGGATTTAGTTAATCGTGTGTCCGTCAACAGATTCACCGAAATGATTGCGAGAAAACAATAACAGAAATTAAAACAAACAACGTGATTAACCTCGACCTTCTCGAAAACTTTCAATTAACTAGTTAGTTAAGGCTTTTCTCACTCGAAATTTAAATTGTACTCACTCATCACTGTTGTTTCCTTATATTCTTAATTATAATAAGAATGAGAAAAATCAAAAAGTTTTCAACTTCGGTGAAAACTTTTCTCAAACTATTAAAATAATTCAAAAAAACTTTTCATCATTACAGTAGTTGCAATTCCGGATTAACCATAACACTTAATGGAGTTTAATCATAATTCACTAGCTGATTAATTGTTACTTCAAGTGTTTCCTAATTTCTGGGTACTCTATGTACACATATTGTTTGTTAATCATTCAGTAATTGCTGTTAATTATTGATGATATCATTATTGATTGTAATCATTATGATTGTTGATAACAACGAGAAAACAAAAAGTTTTATTTTTATTATGATAGTTTGTCAATGTCGTCACATTGATAATTAATTGATGAAAGCAGCATCTTCAACCTTTAGGACATTTTGATTGCTATTGACAAATCATATTATATTTTAGTATAAATTACAATTTAATGATTAATAATAATTACAATACTTATTGAATTTAATTGAATGATACATAACCTTGTCCATTGTGTTGTTGTTGTTTAATCATGACACAAATGATACAAAACGTCATAAGTCACATTAAATTTGGTTGTAATTGATTGTGTGTGTTGACAGCAATTAGTTAAATTCAGTTGAATTTAAGATATTTAATGAGTTGAACAATTATCTTGTATTTACAAATAAACATTTAGATTTTAGATTAAGTTTATTTGATTCAGTTGAGATTATGAGTGATAACAATTAAATTATCCTTTAGGCATTGGTCGTGAGTTATGGGCAAGGCTTTAATCAAAGCTACGGGGATTTTAAACAATTAAACTGAATGTTAGTTTATATTTACTTGTTGTTTATGTTGAATGATTTGGGAAATCCTGATCAACGTAATAATTAAATTTATAATAACAGGCTGATTATGATTAGTTAATTTCAAGACTAATTGGTTTTATCTGAATAACAGATCAATGATAAACAAGTTTTAATTTAATCACAATTGACGAGATTTGATTAACTCATCCCCACAATCATTCCGGTAATTGTTACTTTTTGATAATTGTCTTTTTGGTAGCAATTAGTCGTATGGACATTACTATTAATTGCTTGACTAATCAACTATTAATAAATTAATCTCTCAAAGCAGGTATTTATTTTAATCTGCTTATTATTATATTAACTAGTGTCAATTAATTACTAATCTTAATCCTTAGATTACAGATTAGTAAATCAACATGAAACAATCGATCGCCAATATTTAGGATAATTTAATCCTCTTAATCAATTTCTCATGGATAATTTTATTATTATTTGATCAGTAGTAACAGTTAGTTGATTGATTAGAATCAACAATCAATTTAATAAATAGATAACCAGTGATGATCAAACTAATAGGGAAAAGTGATTAGCATGACCCAGGGAATCAACGAGTGCATAACCCGTAACAACAATTAACTCAGTTGTTAATCAAATGATCAACTATTTAAATTAAAGAATTAGTGATAATCATACTAATAATGATGATTATAATTGTTCATATAATAATAATAGTTGATTCTCCTTGCGTTAATCATCATTATCATTCATTTTCATGGTCAAGGGTATTTATTTAACTAACGAATTAAACTTTTCTCATCGTTGTAACGGCCATTTGTGCGTTGTTTCGTCTTTCGGAGGTTGGACTTGCCATGATGATGATGAGCAGGGTGGTAGAATGGAAGATAATTTGTTAATTGTGGGCGAGATAAGAGGAGGAGATGTTGTCACTTTCATCTAATATTATTGTTCAACTTGATCGTTTTCTTGATTCAGTATCGATCAGAAATCGTTGAGGTTTTTTGTCACTCGGAAATAGTTTTATTTTTACCAAATTAGCGAGTAAGTTACATGGTTATCATTGCATAGGTGATACGCTGATTTCATCGGAGATGATTATTGTTTTATTTTTTGATTGGTTTATGATCTGTTGATGATTATCCTTATTTCTAATTTAATTTCTTTCATATCACTTTTTTCTCGCTCCTATTACAGAGACAATGTTTCCACAGAGACAATCAATTCTTACCGTCGTTTATTTGATCATTTTCACCCTGTCAACTACCTCAGGTAACCCTTTTAATTTAATTGTTCTCATTAATTTTTATGTTTCGATTGTATTCCGATGGTATTGATTATATTTTATTTTCATAATTGGATTGAATTGTTTTGTTTCATCTCGTATTTTGTAATCAATTTTATCCCTGTAGGTCAATCACCATCATCTTCGTCTTCTCTTCCGTGTTCGGATGAAGGTTTTTTCACTAATCCACAGGACTGTTCGTCCTTTTATCGGTGTGTGGACCAAGGGGGTACTGGCGATTATGCTGTTTACTCATTTAGTTGTCCTCAAGGTCTAGTTTTCGATGAAGATCTAAGCGTTTGTAATTGGCCTTATGCGGTCAAAAATGGGTGTAAACCAGGCGAATCCCCACCATCTTCATCAGCTCGAACAGGGCGAAATAAAATGGACGATAATGAGAATGGAATAGGACAAACTGGAAGTGTCCCAGGCAAGAGGAAGTCAAAACGCCCTCAGTGTACAGGCGATGGCTTTTTCCGTGATCCTAACAACTGTAAAAAGTTTTATCGATGTGTACCTGATGATAGCGGAGGTTTTACTCAGTATAAGTTTGTTTGTCCTGGTGGATTAGCTTTTGACGAATCAACATCGGTTTGTAATTGGCCAAATCAAGTTCCTGGTTGTGGGGGACAAGAACAACCACCAATATCTGATCAGCCTCAACCTCCTCCTTCATCATCTAGCGATGACTCTGAAGAGAGAGAGGGAGAGCCAAACAATAGCAACGATGGCGAAGCTCAACCAACCCCACAAAAACCTTCTCCTTATCCTCCATCACCTGGAAAACGTCGCCCAACATCTCGGGTAACAACGACCACAAGCAAACCCAAAGTTCAACCAAAAGCTAAACCATCTCCTCCTCGGCGTCAAAGACCATCAACCACCACAACTACTTTGGCACCAGAAGATGAAAAGAGTGGCACGGACCAGGAACAAGAAGAGCCCGTTGAATCAAAGAAACAAGATAAGCCAAGTAAACCCTCGCCTAAACAGACTCCCTCTCCATCGAAAGGAGGTAAACCAACTACCAAAGCCCCTGCAACAAAAGCTAAAGATAAACAGTCAACAACGACAACGAAACCTCTGTCGAAAAGGAACTAGACCCAGTAAGAAACCCGAAAATAAAGCGACTACATCTTCGTCTGGTGCTAAACAGCCACCGACGACTACGAAAAAACCTCCAATCAAAGAGAAACCAACTACGAAACCTACTACAACATCTCCCAGTACAACCACATCGACTACAACAATGCCGACAACAGTTTCTAGTGAAGGAACAACATCATCATCACCCGAATCAACACCAAGTACGACTAAAAAGACCCCAGAAAAGGGACAACGACCAACGAAGAAACCAGAAAGTAAAATGACCGAAAAACCTTCGGATAGCAAAAAACCTACAACCAAGAAACCAGAAAGTAAAACAATTGATTAGTAGTTTTATTGATTTATTTTAATTTATTAATAAATTCATTTTTTATTTTATTCGAAGGTACAACAACAAATAAACCAGAATCTACGACGGAAAAACCTTCAACTACTACGAGAGAATCGGTTTCAGAAACACCAGTTAGTCAAAGTACTCAAGAAACGTCAGAATCGAGCGAAATGACAACGACAACATCCAGTAAACCAACTTTGGCTGAATCGCCTTCCCCAAGTTCGACTCCATCTACAACATCAGCTCAACAAGAAACTGAAGGTTCGAGTTCAGAACCAAGTTCTGAGTCTCCTACAACCAAGGCTGAAAGTACCACATCTAAACCAACATCCACAACGGAGCAAAAGACAACAAACACCGAGTCACAATCAACACCATCGTCGATGATGACAGAGAGTCAACAAGAAGAAAAATCAACGACGCCAAATAGTCAAGAGAAAGAAGAAGATAAACCAGAGGAAAAGGAGGACGAGCAAAAGAAAGATAAAGATGATAAGAAAGAAGATGAGGAAGAGGAAAAATCTGACGATAAAAAGAAAGAAGACGAACAAAAGGAAGAAAAAGAAGAAAAAGAAGAAAAGAAAGAAGAGCCAGATGATAAGAAGGAAGATGATAAGTTGGGTGAAGATCAAAAGAAGGAACCAGAAAGTGAGCAGCAAACGGAAGAGCCCAAGGCTACAACACCGACAGAGCAGTCGACAAAATCTGATGTTTCATCAACGACAGAATCAACGAGTGAATCAACAAAGACCATGTCAACGACAGAATCTGGTCAAAAACCTGATGAGAGCGATGACAAGGACGAAGAGGATAAAAAGGACGAGAAGGATGAAGACGGTGAACAGAAAGAAATGACAAGCACGACAAAAGGACAAGGAGCTAAATCGACGACGAAAAAAGCATCTCAACCTTCATCAACGACAACAATGCCTCCCGAAGATGAAGGTCAAAGCACTGAAGGATCGGAGAAACCAATGGTGACTGGGAAGCCAACAGCGACCACTGAGATGCCATCAACCACAATATCGTCTTCAACGACTTCAGAATCCCCTGAATCTCCTGATAAAGTAAACGAGTGCGAAGCACCAAATACTAAAAGGCCGTTCCAATGTACTAATGTTGGATTTTTCCGAGACTCGAAAGATTGTAACAAATTCCATAGGTGTACAGCTTCAGAGGGTAAATCTGGTTTAACCAAATACTCATTCAAATGTCCTGATGAATTAGTTTTCGACGAATCATTATCGACCTGTGTTCCATCAGATCAAGCAAATCCACCATGTGACGATAAGAATAAGGAATCAGATGGAAATGAACAAATGCCCGATAATCAAGAGAAATCGGAAGACGAAGAGGACGAAGAGAAACCTGAAGTAGATGTCCCTCCATCGGTAACAACTGAAAGAGGAGCGAAGGACAAGAAACCTCCAAGTAAACCGAAACCATCGAAAAATCAAAAAGAACCAAAACCAAAGAGTAACAACCAAGAGCCTGAAAAGAAACCGGAAGATCAATTAGCTGATGAACCGGAAGACGGTGAAAGTGGTGACAAGGGTGAAATACAGAAAAAAGGAGGAGTACCAAACCCACCGGTTGATGAATCTCAGCCTCCAGAAGATGAAGGATCGTCAGTTGGATCTCCGTCGCCCAAATTGTCAGAATCATCTCAAGGTAGCTGTAAGAAGGAAGGATTTTATCGAAATCCAGAAAACTGTCACAAGTTCTATCGATGTGTGAACTTTGGTAGCTTCATGCAGAAATTTGACTTCGATTGTCCTGGCGGGTTGGTATTCGATGAACGAATTTCCGTCTGTAATTGGCCTTACGCTGCTCCTCCTTGTGACAAAGAATCAGCCGACGAACCTGCACCAGCCTCGGGTGCCGATCAACCAAAAGAAAGTGACCAACAAGAAAGTCCATCAGATGACGGGATCTCTCCTCGAGATCAATCAGCTTCGTCCAATAAATTGAGATCCAACCCCGAAGACGAACCAAGTATTTACAATTGTGAGATCGAAGGAGCGATCCAATTTGAAATCGATTGTGACAAATTCTATCTCTGCGAAACTTCATCCACAGGCAATTTAATCGGTTCGCTTGTACAATGTCCACCTAATCACAATTTCGATTCGATTGCTCAAGCTTGTATTCCACAATCAAGTTCATTCAATTGTTCGCGTCCACAATTGAATCCATTGCTTTTCAATACTCCAAATGTTTCCAAGTTAATCAAATCAGCTCCGGTTGATTATGTTCGTAATTGGATCCCAATTGAAGATGATCAAGATTCTGATGAATAGTGAATAATATTAACTAAATTAATTATCAACCCGAATTAACACTAACAAGTCCAACAAGAAGAAAAGATTCAGTCAAATTTGATTGATCTAATTTCCAATTTAAAATACTCTTCATTAAAAGTGCAATCAGATCTAAATTGTTTTCTTTTTAGGATAAAAATTGTAACTAGTTTTTTAAACAATCAACTATTAATCAATTTACTAACCTGCCAATTTCTATTAATTATGTAAAGAAAAAAGTAATTGGTTGTTAATCAATTTAAAAGATTAAATTTCCTTTCACAATTAATCATTTTTCTAATTGCGATTGTTGACCAACTATTAACCCTCATCATTTGTATTGTGCCTACACAATCACACGATTATTATAGCAATTAAAATGTGAATTTTTTATATAATTTAGAAGATTAAATTGTTTCTTGTTAAATTAAATCGATTGTTTCTTTTTAATGAAAAAAAACAAAACACAAAAATTTGATTACTATTTTCACGTTTGACTGAGAAAATAGGAAAACAATTAATACACTAGATTACATGTTGGGTGAGAATAGAAAATAAATGTAACATAATAGTAAAAAGAACTTAATTTTTGGCATATTTAATCATCTGGATTATCTTTTATAACCATTAATTACACCACAATCTGATCCTATCATCGAGTTTCATGATTGTTGTGTGAACAATGTTCTGAACTTTTTTGTCTGTCGTTTTTCAACTGATTTTCCAAAAACAAAGAAAAGGATAATGGAAGAGAAGAAAATAGGAGAAACACTTGATTAGAAGGAAAAAGGTAAACATAGAATTTGCTGTTGCGTTATGATTTGTGTGTAATTTATGCACGTTCATCTGGAATGCTTGGACTAATAAAACATTCTTTGTTTTCTTCGATAATAATATTTGTTTAAATGACCTAATCGTATCACAGGACGTGAAATCAGTCCATTTCTTGGTGTTGAAACAGCAACCAAAAAAAGATTTGAGACAAAAAATATAACAATACGACTTGATACCACACAGAAGGAAAAAATGTGACGATGATGATGGTTAACAATTATAATAATTGACTTAATCATCAAATTTACGGTTAGGATTACGACCAAATAGGGCTACTCGAATCATTGGTAAAGTGTGATTGGTAATAGCCTCCAATCGACTTTCAAGAGTGTTGGTACATCTAATTTTACCACCGCGAGCTGTTACTTCAACACCACCACATCTACATAAAGACCAAGAAAAATTATTACATTAATATTGATAAAATAAATAGATTAAAATTTCATCAACTCACGAATCAGTGGAGAGGAATCTCTCATTATCCAGAGTTACTTTGACGCCTTTTTTTGTTGCTTGCTTGTACTCGTCAACGGCAGCACCCAAAACACTCTCGACTAGGCCTTTATCTTGTTGGCGACATTTAATTACAACGCTATCTTCCAGCAATTGGAATAAACACTGAAAGTGAGAGAAAAGAAGAAGCATAATTAGTACTAGTTATCTTTCGCAAGTTGTGGCATTAAGTTGGTATTAAATACAAGTACCTGAGCAATTAATTTCTGAACAACCTTGGAATACATTTCAGGATCTTTAGTAACTTCTACGAGCTTTTGTCTGGCTTCTTCCGTGACACTTTTGATATGCTCTTCTCGAGCTTTGAGGACCTTGAGTCGAGCAGCGTTTAACATATGTGAATTTTGACTAAAACAGTGTTGAAAAAAACGTTATTTATCTCATAGAAAAAGTAACAGTGTAGACGTGGACCAAGCAAAACAATATCAATTCAGGTTAGAGTAACTAAAGAGCCTCAAGCCCTAAGGAGGAAATTTGTCAAATTGATTGATTGTTACATGATTTTTGTCATTTTGCTTGATCCATACCTTTCAAAATGTAAATAACTAAAGAATGATATTTACATTCTCCTCTGGAGTTCAACTTGTTTCTCCTTCTTCTCAAAATATTCCATAATTTTGATTCTTTGTTCATTAACAAGTCTACCCTTTTCAATTTCAAATTCTTCCTCTGCTTTAGTTTCAATTTCCTCGGCTTTTTCTTGAGCTTCTTGCTCAATAAAAGCCATCATGTGTTGAATCTGTTTAGAAAAAGATAGACGAAAGAAGATTATTACATTAAAATGACCCAGAAGCTAAAAGACTAATAAAATATCGGAGAAAAAGAATAAGATAAAATGAATGTAAAAGGGAACAAGATAGAAGGTAGACAAGTCCTTCAAATGGTATTGATATGATGATGATAACAATAATCATCAACCACCATTGACATTGTTCAAAGTAAATGAAGGGAAAGAGAAAAGGGAGGTTTTGATTCATTACTTCTTTCAATCTCCACCATTGGCAAAGAAACAATAAAAAAGGTTTCACCTTTAAGAGAATGAAAGCCAAAAGAATCTTGAATTCTTACCTGTTTTTGAACGTCGGCATTGCTGAGAGCCATCTTCAGATGAATATACTAAGGTATTTGACCAAAAGGAGAAGTGAAAAAGGAAGAGAAAAACAATTAAAATTAATTTAACAGGAGAAAATTAGAATAACAAAATCTAATTAACACTCAACCCAAAAATGATTATCTTCACTTTTTCAGATTCCTACCCAACATTAAACTGCTCATTCTCATTATACTTCTCCCCCTTTTCTTTTCATTCGTTTCAAAGAATAAAAGAAAAACCAGTAGATGGCACCACTGATTTTCTTTTTCATTTTTTGTTCTGGTTTGTGATTAACAGATTAACTAATTAATATTTGAATTAAGATCCCGCTAATCGTGAGCCGAAAAAAAAGTCAACTGAAAGTAGAAAAGTTGAACTTACGGGCAAATCTTGATTCTTTCCCAATGTTGGCCCGGTTTTCTCTGAAACTAAATTTTTTCTTTCCCACTGTTAATTTGTGAGCCAATATTTTGTTAATTTAATCTTTTCTTAGTAATTAAAAGAAATTGTGTTAACTTTCTCAGTTGGAATGGAAATCTGGGTGAGTAGATTGTCAGTTTTGTTTAAAAGAACATGAGACATTTTTCCAAAATACCAGAAAATAGAAAATATTTATTGAAATTTTAAATGATAACAAGATTGACAATGTTGAGCTTTTGCATTGGCTTGATTTTGTAAAAAAATATACACAATAAGAATATTTTTATTGGAAATTTTGATTAACAATGAATAGAAAACTGTAATTAGTTGATTAGATGAGACAATGTCTCAAGTTTCATCAAAAGAATAGTTTTGACTACCAGATGATCAATTGGTTCTAATTTTTCATTTTCTTTCTTCTCAGCAGATTCAACTTGAGATGAAACTGTTGGTCCCGATGAACACATGGGAACCTTTTCCTTTGGCGGTTGAAGAGGATTCGTTTGAAGCTCGGTGACTACATTGTTGGTGGTGGAAAATGGCTCTGGAGATATTGATTGTGGTTTCAATTGGTGTATAAATTGGTGAATATCGTATCAACATTTGGCTTTTCTGGAAAAAGTTCATCATAATTGGCGTTAGAAACTGCATTTATCATAGGCTTTGGCTTCGAAGATGATGGTATCAGTGCAGGCAGTGGTAACGGCATTGTCTCCAACAGAGATGCCAAATCGTTGACGTACATCAGGTCACTGAGGTTACGATAGATATGAACCGGATGTTGGTTGGTCAAACCAGGTTTAAGAAGAGCTGTTGTTACTGAGGTCATTTCAGAACCTTCATCTAAACTCTCAGTGCTTCCAGTTTGATTGCTCGTCTCTGCGCTAATTTGATCTGTTATTGAATTTACTTCGGAAATTGCTCCTGGTGAGCCTTGGCAACTCTCTGGTGATTCATTTCCCGTTCCTGCAGATGAGCTTAAAAATAACTGTGAATATGTTGGCGGTGGTGATCCGTTAATAGATTTGGTACAATGAAGACGAGATCCATTGTTTCGACGAGTATTCACAAGCGCAGAAAACATTTGACCATTTTGATGGTCAATATCACTTTGTCGAGGTCTACATTGCTGGTCAAAAGAATGACTCAAGCCACAAGCACCTGAACATCCAGGAATCGGTATTTCGTAACCTTCGTGATCAACTGATATGTTGAGGTATTTTGAATGGACGCTCTCAGCTCGAGATGAAGCACAATAAGTTGTCGCTGTGTCCATGGTACTATTGAAAGCACTATTGAAGCCACTAGAGTCTCCACAGGTAGAAAATCTCAACTCTGAAGATGCTCCTGTTAGGGAACGAAGAAAATTAAAATTAGAACGAGAAATATACTAATAATTTGCGGTGTTCGTCAAACTAAGTATGTACAGTAAAAAAGCTGATATTCTATTAACAAAGAATCAAGCGAAACCGGAGAGCATAAGCTCTACGATAATTTCAATTCTTTTAAATCGCATGTTTCGTATATTTTCATGTTCGAAAAGTGATTAATTAAGCAGATAAAATGTTGATTACTTTGACCCGAAGGTTTCACCGGTTATTGTTAGAGATCCAGTTGATGATTAGATGATCATCAAGCAATTGGTTAAACTACGATGTAAGGAAAGTTAACGCTTTGGATATCGTTTAATGGCCTAGAGAAAAGTCGATCTTCCAAATAGAATCCAAAATTATCAAAGGCTCCTGCAGGGGAAGGTTAAAACGCACCAGCGAACGTCAATGTGTTAGATTTTATCGACATTATATTAGATGGTTAATCGACAATCAAAGAAAAATTAAAGGAAACAAAAAGCGAGACAAACACTGGACATCACAAAAGCATAAAGCAACAGGGAATGTGTTAATTGTGATCGAGAGAGAGAGAGAGAGAAAAAAGTGCAACTTGAACGTAAATCTAATGATTTACATTTTTCGAAACAACATGCGATTTAAAGACACCAGAATATCCAATTAGATTAAAAAAAAAGAAAAGAAAGTGCGATAATCAAGACGATTAATTAAAGAGAGAGATGGAGATTGGATTCAATAAAATCTTGATGGTGCAAAAGTAAATTAACAAACAAGCAACTGATTTACCGTTGGTGTAGTAGCTGTGGTTTGAAAAACTTGTGATGATTCCGTCTCCTGATGACAATTTAAGTTTTAATTCCTCCAGATAATTGAGACAAGACATAAATGTTGGTCTCATGTCTGAATTGTAACACCAGCATTGATTCATCAAAAGGAACCTATTGAGAGAGAAATCAATCAAATTAAGAGTTCAGTTTATTCGACTCTGATGATTTTAAACACTTACATCTCCTCTAAACAGTTTGGTGGCCTTTCAGGTCGACCACCACTTCGAACATGGTTCAATACTTCTTGATTACTACGAGCTGGGTATGGTTGTTGACCTAAAGTCATAACTTCCCAAAGTAGAACACCGAATGACCAAACATCCGATTGGGTCGTGAAAATGGCGTAAACTAAACTTTCCGGGGCCATCCATCGAACTGGCAGCAAACCCTCGCCCTCTTTACGATAATAATCATTTTTATAAATATCTCGAGCTAGACCAAAGTCACCGATTTTAACGATTCTTGATTCACGGTTTTTGCTCGAAACAAGACAATTTCGAGCGGCCAAATCTCTGTGAACAAAGTGCATCGCTTCCAAATATTGGCAACCTTTAGCAACATCCACACAGATACTGAGAAGATCATCTAAAGTCAAATCACACTGTTTCTTTTCTGTCGGTCTCTCATCTCGAAGATACGAAAGAAGATCGCCTCCCTCCATGAGCTCTAATAAAATGGAATTATTTCCCGGATCAAGACAAACACCAAGAACTTTAAGAATGTGTGGATGTTTGAAGTTCCCCATGATTTTAGCTTCTTTCATGAAATCATCTTTTTCTTGTTCTGATGCATCTGATTTTAATTTCTGTGAAAAAATCAACTCAATTAGTGTTATTAATGGTATAATTGATCAGCCATTAGAATTAAAGAGAATTACCTTTATCGCAACGGGCAATGAAGCATCGAGGCTTCCGACAAGCTCAGGATCAGTGAACAAGCCACGAAATACTTGACCAAAAGCTCCACAACCCAAACGATCTGTTTGTTTGAATTGACTTGGTGAAATTAATCTGATGGACGACAATTCATTTTCTATTCCAGTATCTCTGTTAATAATAATGATGAACGAGTAATCAAATGATTATTTTCTTTGATCAAGTATCTTTTGTGAATCGTTTAAATTGCAATAAACTTACCCTGGTAGATAGAGTCTATTGTCTTCATGGGGATGATCTGGAAGTTGGGTCAAGCTGATTAGATTTCGTTCATGTCCTCGTTCAGATTCCTTGAGAACTTCTTTCTCATTAGTTTGCGATTTCATGACTAGATTATTAAGGGTTTAGGGTTAAAGTGGTTAATGGAAGCGAAAAGGAGTAAAAACAAGCAATTAGCAAACAATTAAAGATTTAAAGCCAAGACAAGCAGTTAAGTAATCATTTCATTAGTAATTAAGTTAATTATTTTTACCTTTTCTGGCAACAAAAAGCAAAATAATAAAAAACATTAATGATCCAAGAATAGTCAAACAAAGAGTCTTGAAATCGGCTGAAGATGAAGGATGAATAATCAAGATCTCATGGTCAGCAGTTGAGTGGACAAAGGGCATCGGTTGAACCGTTGGATGGACCAAAACAAGGGAGATTAATTTGTCATCCAAAGCGAATGAATTATGATAAATCTCCTCTCCATCTGGATTAACCTCTTCCTTGCACAATTCAGTTCCTGAGATCCAGTAAAATGTATCATCATGGTGAACCAAACCAGCAACGTCTTTGAATCGAGAGGCGACAACATTTGGCCTTATATTGGTCACATTGGTTCCGTCCATAGATGTTGACCAGATCGTCTCATTGTGAGGAAAGTAAATACGTTTTCGTGAATAATCAATGGTGAATATTTTGGTCAATGGATCTCGGAGAAAACGAATGATTTCCGGTTTACCGTTGGAAACAGAATTGGGCCTCGGTAACTTGATCAAAGAGGTTCGGTAGAGTCCACTTCTATCAAATGGATTGGAAATGGACCAATAGAGATATTTGTTAACTGGATCAACATGTAAATCTTTGGCTCCACTGATTAAAGTAGGTAAACACCATGTGAATGAAATTGTTAATTCATCTAAATTGAAACAACCAATTGATGAATCGAAAAGCATATAAACAATATCATGAACCCAATCAATGGCTATTTTGTTAATGGCACTTGGCCAATGATCACCAGGAACTGGTAACGGTAAAATGGATACTCGAGGCTTAGAATCAACTTGATTGCCTAAATTGTTATCAATCTTCCAAATGGTTCCATTAGACGAAGCAATTAAAACCAATTTACGTTTAATATGCAAATCAACGGACACAATTGTGACATTATCATCACTATCTAGACTAAAAAGTGTTGACCCATCCATAAGGTCAGTTGAGTAATTGTAAACTGACCGATTCGAGGAGACAAGTAGATATGGTGGAACTGTCAGATCAGTTAGACCTTCAGTTTCATTGAAAAATGGTGTAGTGACATTCAAGAGGGTCAAAGGTCCCTCGCCTTGCGAGTTAATACTTGATAATCCAATGGTGTACAAAGTGGACGGTTTGAGACCAACGAATGTATACTGCAAAGGTGTACTGTGATTGTATTGGTACTTTAGAGCCAAATTAGCAGAATTGGGTAATTGAATTGACGAATAGGATGGAGATGAGCCCGTTGAAATGGGTCGCAATCGCTTCTCATCGGTCGCATATTCATAAAGGTACAAAACATACGCAATTATGTGGTCATTGGGAAACTTTGGTGCTCTCCAAGTTACAAAAATCTCATGTGGTGTTGGTGCTTCGATTCGAGTTATTTCTGGTGCTACAATTGGTCGGCCCCAAGGAAGTGTTCGTAACACTAGACTAGGTCTTGATTGTATTGGTGCACAGTCAGGAGCCGGTGAATAGATTAGTCTAAATCGGTAATCAGTGAACGGTTTAAGATCTTCAATGAAGCTCACATTTATACCACGATAAGTGCTTCGAGTTGGCACATAATCATACCAAGTGTTGTTTTCCATATAATCCTCGAATCTGTACTGGACAGTATAGTTTATATTAATCTCTGGATGTGATGACCATTCCAATAGCAAAGATCGGTTGCCGATACTATTAGCGACCGGGTGAGGTTGCGGCAGTGGTTTAAGTTTTTCTGCTAATTCTGAGCAATAAGCTTGACGAAACGAGCGACATCCACGAAGACATGACGACACCTTAAAGTTCAATCAAAATGAACAGAAAAAATAATCAAAATGAAAATTCAACACTGAGAATCAATGAGAAAAAAGTATCGATGGATTTTTTGTTCTATCATATAGTTGATTAAACAATTGCCACACCGGTGATAATTAATATGGTTTGATAACCTTGCACAATAAGTGAGATAATGACCAGTATAAAGGTCAGTCAAAGATTGTTACAATCAATAATCTCAACGGTTAATTATATATTGATGTTAAAAATTAGTTTTTCCTTCTTGATTAGATTGTTAAATTAAGACAAAAAACTTTGTTCCTTCGAAAGTTTGTTGAAAAAAAAAGTTTACATTTAAACGAAACACAATTAACGCGAAAGTGTTACAATCGTTTTGTCAAATGATTATCGACTTAATTGTATAATTAATTGTGAGAGTAAACAATTATTGACCTATTAAGACAAAAACACTATTAATATTGGACTGATTTAATTTTCCAAACGGAATCAAATTAAAATTGAAAACAAGAGCAGATAAAAAAGTAAAAACCTAATCCAAACCAAACGTAAAAACAACAAAACCGTAATTATAATTGTTGGTGCTTTTTGTCATTTGATTGTAATGTTGGTTAAATTATTGTCGTTTCTTAATTGTGGTTCATCATAATTCTCGTAACAATCAAATTGAACTTGTCAAATTATTCAAGTATAAGGGTTAATTGTTGTCATCAAAATGAGAAGAAAGAAAAAGAAATCAGTGAGAAATAAATCGTTACAGGTCAGTAGTTACAATTTACTTTCGATGACAATTATTTTTTTCTAGTCTCCATTTAGATATCAAAGTTGACCCTCGGTCATGCCGGTCAAGCAGATATAGTCTAGAAGTCTTTTGATTGACGATTAGCATTCAAAGATTAATTTACCTCAGTTTGATTTGATGTTAATTTAGTTGAGTTACAGATTGTTGAACATGAGAGATCTTTGTAATCTCGTGATTTTTGGCATCCTAATTGACACTGCAAAGAAAAAAATTAAAAAGTTATTAGTAAATTGTAAATTGTAAAGATATTAGCTCCAAAAAAGAGGGACAAGGAAGCTATTTAATCACTCGCCAAATTGTATCATTGGATAGATTAGACTGATCGACGCGATGATTAGTAAATCAAATCTTTTAATGGTCAAAATAAGTGATCAGTTTACTTTTTCATCTACTGATTGGAATCAATGATCTGATCAGTTTTATGTTCAATTGGAATTGTTATTGAAAAGAAAACCAAATTGATCTCAACCAAGGATATGATAGATTATCATCACCAACAGAATCAGTGTTAAATACAACAATTAATCAAAACAATCAACTGATATTTACTCAGTTAACATAATAGTAAATCGAAAAGCATAAATTTTCCTGTCAGTGATCATGATGATTGAAGAAAAAATGAATTTTAATCTATAAAATTTTCGATATCAATTCTCAGGTAATTACAATCGGAAATTGATTGGGATGAAGACACAAGTTTAAAGAAGACACAACAACCTTGTTACTGTTTCTGCAGAACAAATTAACCAAGTAATCAATTAGAATGTGATAATGGACTTTGATTTATTATTCAATTGAATGAGAATTGAGGTAAATTGTTGATCAATTAATTGGTGTGAACAATTACCATCAATTGATGGCATGAAATCGACACAATTTAAAAGGAAGATCACAAAAGGCTTTCGAATTCATTTAACTAATAAATGTAAACGAAAAAAATAAGATGAAAAAGAAAAGTGAAAATAAAGAGAAGAAGAAAAAAACTGGATGGTAAAGGACAGAAAAAGTGAAATGATTAAATTAAAAGGAACTTGATTTAATAGCAGAAAGAGAAACTCGAAAGAAGAATTAAGTTGACAATTAACTCGAATATTGAGAAAAAATTGTCATCAATTGGTAACATCAACTTCCTTTTCCTTCCCTGTCAATTGAATATTTCTTCTTATTTTTTTCATCCATCATTCGCTCTTCATTAATTGGGTAACGTTCTTGTGTTAATCGGATCGAGATCCATCATCAGCCTGATTGTTAATCCAATTTACGATTTAATTTTCGGTACAATTAGGGGTTAACTGTAGTTGTAGGTTGAAAGGAGGAAAGGCTTGGGTCTACCAAAGGGATTCGGTCAATTGGTTTTCCTCTTCTTCTCCTCCTCTTCCTCTCAATCTCACCTCCTCTTACGAAGCGGTGACAATAAGATGAAAAACATTGGAATCGAGATGATAATTACAATTGTTCATTACGAATGAACAATTAGTTAATCACATGACAACCAAATTAATCTAAAGGTAAGCAATCAAAGTGGGAGGATTAAAAGGTAAACATAGTGATGGGTGAAAAAAACGGTCCATTTGAATGATAAGAAAAAGGATTAAACTTTCGATTATTTCATGTTGATATTTAACTTGTCGTCGATTGAAGGATTACTTTCATTTGGCTTTCACATGTCACATCTAAATGGTTAATTAATTGTCTCGCTTAATCTCATCTACTTACAACCCTAATCACAATTAAATGCTCATCGATTTCATTTTCTGTTGATCAGTGAATGTCAGTGTCTTTCCTTTAAGGTGGTTCGGTGATTTTTGTGACTTTTTTGTTCCTTCACTTTGTTAATTGTTATTGGTGATTTAATCACAAGGCTGATGGTGATTACAATTATCCCAAATGATTGGATTCACTGAATCACCGGATAACCATGGGATTTTGTTTGTGACTTTAATCAAAGGATGCATTGCTGGATTAACACATTAATAATTCTGTTTTATGGATTAATCCGGATAACTTTTGCAGATTATTGTGGTAAGAATCAAGTCAATTACAATTGTATCAGATTATTAATATGATAACATTTTCCAAAATTCAAAAAATCAGCAAATTGATTGTTGTCAATGTGTCAAAAATGGTGTAGCTTCACACTCAGTTATTAAATTGATAATCTGATACATTTAGTCCGTAATTTTAACAGATTAAAACATTTCATGTTAATCTTAACATGTTAATGTCTTAATCTGACAACATTGATACAACTTTCATCTTCTTAACAATTGAGTTGCGATGTTTAATTTTGCTGTTTTGTCTTATATGTACTTTTGTAGATTGTGGATTAAGTGGCCTTCAGAAACGAGTCTACGGGGGTAACGAGACATACGCCAATCAATACCCATGGGTAGCTCATTTAAGGTCAGTTACCGTTCATAGTCCAGTTCCATATCTTGACTAGTATCAATTCTCATTATGAGAATATTAATTTGTGATTTACCTAAAAAATCAATCAATCAAGTCCAGTGAATATTAAGCAATTGAAATTATCATGACCGTGATTGTGATTATCAGTTGATTCCTATTGAGTTTCATGATTTCATTTTGCTGGACAATGGCCTCGCTCTTGGGTCAGTAGGAATAAACTTAGATACTACTGACAAGTTATTAATGAAAAAATAGAAAATGAATCGCAACATTCATATGAACGAATCTTTCATTATGTTTTTCCTCTTATGATCTTTTCTTGTTTCCTTGACAATTTACACCCTGGTCCTTATATTTAGCTTGTTTTCTGTTTCCTTTTCCTATTCTTCAGTAGAGTCCAAGGGTAGGGCCACTTTTGTCACGGTACCGGAAACGATGTTTCTATTATGCAAAGTATCATCTTCCTTCATCCTCAGTTTACTTCAAATTTTATTTCACACTAAATTCAACTTATTGTTATAAATGATCACAATGTAATACACCACATGATGATAATTCTGATCTGAACCAACAAAAAACTCACTATAACAGTGAAAGTTTTGAATTGATTAAAAAACGATTCGAAAAAAAGTTGAAACAAATCATGAACCAGGTCTTTTTTCTTGTTAAATTCAACTGAAGTTCTCATATTAACACCCAATCAGTTCCTTAGGGTATTTTCATGAGAGCCTTTATCATGTTGGTGATATTTTCATGTTTGTTCATGAAAAATCAAGAGATGAATGAAAGTACATGTTGATAAATGGCCTTAAGATTAGTGTTATTGTCACAGTCAAAGGTTGTCAATATTATTATCAATAACTTTGATTATTGATGTTAATTGTAAACATTGTGCTCCAACTACAGATATTTGCATTGATTTTTAGTCTTAGCGTTTTTTAAGAGATACGTTTGTTTGTCTTTGATGCAAATCACTGACCATTGGTGACTTTTCTAGCTTGATTAAGTAAACTCGAGATTAAAAGTTAGCCATAAGTAATAATGTGATTAATCAAACACTACAATTTGACCTTCTAATTGTGTAAATACAAATATCACTGCAAACTTAAAATTTGTCAACCCAAGAAAGTTAAGTCAACAATCGAGGTTAACCATAATCAACGGAAATCGAACTGATCTTTTGAGGTCCGTGTGTTATATTTGAGCTCTTTTTTTATCCTTTGTCTTGTTCATCATTTTCTCATAGATTTTTCAATTACATTGGTGGTGGTCAGTATGGACTTTGTGGTGGTTCTCTTATTGACCATTGGCATGTCGTAACGGCGGCCCATTGTTTACACGACGAGAAGGGCAATGTCCGTGATCCCAGGGCCGTTCAGGTTTACCTTGGAGTACATAACCTTTACCTGCTGCCAAGAGCCCGTCAAGTGGCCTACTTTATTATACCCGATAATTATGATTCCACTAAACCGGTTAACAATGATTTTGCCATACTTCAATTGGCTGAGCCAGTTGAATTTTCAGCCAGAATATCACCAATCTGTATACCAAAAGATGATATCGAACCGTACCAAAGGTTAACCGTTGCTGGTTGGGGACATTTAGGTCCTAATCAAGGGACAGCGGCTGCACTACAACATGTTGATGTTTATCATGTCGGCAGTAAGTTGATCACTTAATCCACGAGCTTTTTTCCTTTCGCGAACTTTCTTGCTAATACTTTATTTTATTCCTAATCCTTTGTAGAAGGAGATTGTTACGATATGGTCAAGGATTATCTCTATCGAACTCATCCAATTGTCCGTTTATTTCCCCACAAATTCATCATTCCTCCAATTCATGAGAATCATATGTGTGCAGTTGATGGTTCAACTGGTGGAGACGCTTGTCAAGGAGATTCGGGTGGTCCATTAATGTATCTTAATCCAAGTAACAATCGTTATTATCTTGTTGGCGTTGTTTCGGGTTCGTATGACCTTTGTGGTGATGAGATGACCCCAGGATTTTACACTATGGTCAAAATGTTCAGACACATCATTGAGTCGGTAGCACCAGAATCTCATGTATGTTATTACTGATTCAAGAGCAATTATTATTTCTTACCAAAATTGGTACAATAAATTGTCATCAACTCAACGAATCTCCATTCATATGCCGACAAAAGACTCGACAGACACAAATCCAATCAAATCTTGCATAAATCAACAACTAATTAATTAACTGATTAACTAATTGTTGATCGACTTACATGAACCAGTTTTATGGTTCGCATTCAGTTGATTAACCAAATTGTTCATTTCTTCAATGGAAATCATCAAGTTTAGAAACCCAATTTTCTTAAAAATTTTTGTGATCTATTATCAATATTAACTAATTGTGATTATCTAATTAATTTATTTTAAAGAAAATTTTGATTCACTTCTTGATTTGATCTTATTGTAATTTGTTGATTACCTAAGGACCACAACTACTGGACAATAGGACGATACAATTGGAAAGACTGATTAGTAGTACAATGTTTTTATTAATTATCAACGAAAACTATTAATCTCTGACCTCAAATTTTACTACAACAATTAAAAAGAAATTAAAAAGTAACACATTTTATTACAATTGAATTCGACGAAAAGTTAAATTATTCTTCATACTTTCTTTTCTTTCTTTTTTATCATCCTCATCATCTTAACCCACAGACTCCTTCCTTTCTCTCCCTCTCTTCTCAACAACTTCCGTTCCCAGGCCATTTAAATATCGATGACAATGCTCTAGGTATGGTCAAGGACAAAGGATTGATTGACCAGTACGTGTAATCTCACCACGTACCAAGTCATGCAAAGGCATTTTCAGCGCAGTGTAACGGTCATCATTAGTCTTAACTAGTCTTGCATGGCTAGTAAATCGTTAAGAGTTTAGATCAACAGTTTTCAGCCATTTACCTTTACCAATGGTCAAGGAAAATAAAACAATAAAACCGCTCTAATTATGATACTAATCAATATCGATTGTAATGATCACGAGCAGATTGTAAACTCTAATCAAAAGTGTTAGCATAATGCTCAACCTTGGAGTCTCTGTGAACCGTTTTCTTAAATTACCTTTCAATGGAAAACTTGGTTTACGGGATTTTATTTGTTTCCGGTGAGAGAGAAGACAGAAGATCGCTCATCCATAGCTTATCTTCTCTCTCTCTCTTTCTATTATACATCTTACAACAATACATCTTCTCTCTTTCTCTCTCGTATTTCTCTTTCATCATCTTCTCATCTTCTCCTCCCCTCAGGTTAAACCCGAAAATAACCAAACCCGTCTCACACCTATGGACCTTTTACTTTGCTTCTTTTCTTTTTTTTCTTTTTTTCTTTTTTTCATCTTTCTCTTCTACTCTCTGACAATATTATCACAATTTAGAGTTTAATTCTTCTTCCTTTCCTCTTGTCATTAGATGATAATTGTAATGATAAAAGAATCGAATCGCCGGAAGAAACATTCCCGTTCGAGTCAATATTTTTTTCTCAAACCATAGAAAAAGTATGATCACAATTATGATCAAATTGCACGAAATTGGAAATTACGATTACGTTCAATTAACGTTGAAGATCATCTTTTGGAAAAGAGTTGCTGGTTTAGCAATTAGTTGATTTCATTTCAATAACATGAAACTATCTCATTACGTTGGTGTTTAACCTGTTAATCTGATATCAACTGATTAAAATTGTTTAGTTTCAGATAAATTATTTCACTTTTTAGTATCACTCAAATTACGCTATTGAAAAACTCACACTGAATATCCTCTAATTGTCTATTGACAGGGAAATTGGAGAGGCAAAAGTGAAAGTGAGAGAAATAAAAGCAAATTAAATGTACTTACGTTTATATTACAATCTAAATCCGTGCAGTTTGTGTAGTTTTGGCCATTGGTATTCCTTGAAAGTAGCACATTACAAAATGTCACAGTTAAAAAAAATGTTAGAAGATGATTAAGATAGAAGATGATGAACGGATCAGCCTGATTAGCTGAGTGAGGCCACATTATGGTTATCAATGATGACCAACACGGAAAAATTGATGGACGTTCAATGTAAAACTTTTTTATGTACTTGGTCGTTTGGTTACACAAATCATACTAACGAGAAGATGAGAGGATGAGAGATGATGATGATAAAAGAGAGAAAGAGAGAAAGAGAGAAGATGAATAGTGAGGCAAATGGTGGAAGGAAACGGGAGAGGGAGAAAGGGAGAGGATGATGATGAGAAGAAGAGTAAGAAAGAATCGGTAAAAGTAAAGAAAGAAAGAAAGAAAGAAAGAAAGAAAGAAAGAAGAAGAAAGAAAGAGAGAGAGAGAGAGAGAGAGAGAGAGAGAGAGAGAGAAAAGCAAAAAACTCGCCCAACACTTCTAAGGCCGTTCGTTAACATGGAAGTGGCAAAAAGCAACAATTAACTGAGACTCGTACATATGATTAATTAATTGTCAAATTGTGTCGAAAGTTTAACTCTCGTGTTTTTCATCCACTGATCTGGTTCTCGAATTGATCGAGCAATCTGATTCCAATACAACAACGACAACAATCAACAAGTGATTATCCAACAATTTATCCATCATCAGTTTGTAACCAATTCCAAGCCTAATCTTGGACAGATGGATTATCCTCCAAATGGATTAACCATTTCTTTTTTTCTTTCATATTCAATTTTTTTCATCATCTCGATGGTATCATTTATGCAATCAAAAAGTCTAAAAGTATTTTTAACTTTCCAGTGACATTTAATTTGCAATCATCATTAGCGATTCCAATACCTTCGAGATCAACCAAAGATTATCTTTTAATCTTCTGTCATTCTATTTTTTGAAACTTCTATTTCCGTAATTAATTTATTATTAATATTTACCCATAATCTTCATCTCTTATATCCCAAGTTCACCAAGAATCACAAGAACATTTCACCTCTGAGCTTCCTCCCTCATACTAATCTCCAACGATGAAAATAAGACCTACTAAGATGCGATCTACGAGATGATTTATATTCAAATTGTTAACTAATCATGGTAATTATTCAAGTATCTCTATTGACAATCAATGGATTGTCAATCAACACCAATAGAAAAAAGTGTTTTATTTAAAATGAGTTTTCTATTTTCAAAGGTTTCCTTTTTCCCTCTCTCTCCCTCTCCATTTCTCCATCTAACTAATAGTAATTGAAATTGTTAATTCTCATCTCAAGTCAAAGTTAATCAAATTAATTACAAGAGTTTTCATCACTGAAGATAAATTAACAGAGATCCGTTGATTTGAATGTGTTCACATTGCGGGAAATAGGAAATAACAGGTTCCCTTTATTTAGTAAATTAATGAGTTGTTATTAACTGTCAATTGATTTTCTTTTGCTCTCTAATTGTTGTGGATCATGTTAATTATGTTACAATTGAGATGATAAACAATTTAAAACTCCCAAGAACAGCAACAAGATCAAGATGACCTCTAACAAATAACATGAAAGGCAATAAGATTCAGGCCAAACTAACATGATAAATGAACGTTATTATGATTGAAATTAACTGTTGAAATCATTGATTGTTAAGATAAATTGATACGATTAACTTTCACTGACTCTCTCTCTCTCTCTCTCTCTCTCTCTGTATATCAATCAATTGACTAATATTATTATTGTTGGTCTTTCAAATGATGTGAAGATAATGATGAACAAAAAATTAAGTGAAATCATCACAATTTAATCATTAACAAGATAATTTAATCATCGTTTTCACCATTGAAAGTTGAGGTCGAGGCTTCCGAAAATAAAGTCACCATGAACAATTGATGTTACTAATTAACGTATTCAAGAGTAAATAATAGATTAGCAAGTTTACAGTTGATACAATTTAATGCAAACTGAATTAAATTGGCATGTTAATTAATTCGTAATGTATTTTTCTTCAAGTTAACACTTTGCAATCATCTTAATTTTAAGTGTGATCAAATGTTGGACAAACTGAATTGATTGTTGATTACCTGATGACCGCATTTCCCTAATTGTTTATATTGATTTTTCTTATTCTCATTAATTAACAAAACTCAAAACAAATTGGACTTTTTCTTGGTTGTTGTCCATTAATATGATTTCCAATCAATATATTATATCGCTAAAAGTTAAGCTAATTAACTAATATTAACATAGATTGTTAGTTTTTTGTGAGTTCTTGCAAGGTCATGGTCAATTGAATTTCCTTTAAGTTGATTTAGAGATGAAAACAGGAAGCTCATCCACAACATAGTAGTTGAACATGCGAACCCCACCCTTTCAATCAATGACCCACCTTAGCCAATTCTCAGCCCACTTCCCTTTTTCAGTTATCCTCCGATTGGGTGTGTGAGGTTTTCATGTAAAGTATATCATGTCAATGAGAGAGAGAGAGAGAGAGAGAGAGAGAGAGAGAGAGAGAGAGAGAGAGAGGAGGAGGAAGAGGTCAGTGTCCAGTCTGATGATATTCAATATCCAATAATGTTTGAAAAAACAAAATGGTGATCAAGATAATTAAGATTAGGATACAAGTCTTTTCAATCGGTTTCAAAGTGTCCACTCACTTGACATACAGTTTGTCCTGTTTGAGTTTAGGACCACATGTCACATGATTGAGAGGACGCACTTTTAAAGCGATTCTTAAATGGTCAATTTAAAGGTATTGGTCACCTGTGGAATGATTTAAATGTGTAAGCGAGAAAAGTATGAATGAAGAAGAAGACGATGATGGAAAAAGAGGAAGATTAAAGAGCGTGAGTGAGAGAGAAAAAAGAAAAGGAGAAAAAAGATGCAGATGATATTTTCTTGAGAAAAAAACGTCTTAGAGAATAGAAAAAAATCGCTAGAACATATCGAACTAGAGGTTTTCCTGTACAAGTTCACGTTCTCTCTCTTCTTGTTCATTATTCTGACATCTGCCTATCGACGAGTGAGCGTAAGACTAAATGGTGAGAATCCATATGTTCCTATGTAGAAGAGCCTTTGCCCTCTGACCTCAAAGAAAAACTTGATTTTCAACTTTGTTACTCTAGACGTTCGTTAGATGGAGACATTGATTATAATTTCGAGGGTGAAAATTTTAGTTACAACTAAATTGGACTCTCGATGTCGGAGTTTCCCTCTGGTGGTTTAGTTTTTCACGTCAAGTGAAAGTCAAATGGGCCCATTGATGGAGATTAACTGAATGGGCAACATAAATCTGATTGTTATCGATGTTCAACAGAAAGATGATTAAGAAAAAATAGATTAATAAATTTATTATCAAAGGGAATTCATGAAAGTTGATACATAAATTGTTTTCTTCAATCAAAACATCAATAAGTTCATAGATTTATAACAATTGATAAAGTTTCTCAATGTTGATCTACTGTGATCGTTTTTCTTAAAACAATCAGCGCGAAACATTATCAATGCTTTTAACATTAATCGTCTCATGTCCGAACTTGAAAATTGCCCGCTTTAGAAACGTATTTAACTCCTTTGAAAGGCTTGTATTTCTAAAATAGAGGAAAAGAGAGAAAATTGTTCAATGGAATTTTAAGAATAATCGGAAAGTTATCGAATTGTTGATCTTCTACTCTCTTAGAGTGAGAGTGTTTTTGTTGTCATTCTTACCTCTCCATACATGTCCAATCGGTTAACCTTTAGACCTGAAATTGCGAATTGGCTAATGGTAAATTTGACCAAAATGGTTGGATTCGAGTCTGGAAGAGGTGAACCGCTTTGTAAATTGATGGTACCGCGGACGAAAGGACTTTTACCGGTCTCTACTCTGCCGATTTCCCAGACCAACACCTTAGATACGGGATCAAACGAGTATTTTCCTTGATTCGGTGTAAGGTTTACATTCAACACTGTCTTTGGCATCGGAATCTCCAAGACAACACCATCGAGCTAAAATAAAGTTAACATAATATAAGATGAGAATGGGATAAGAAAAGTAACCATCAAAGTAAGAGAATCTACTGACTGTTCTTCCATTCGTTTGTTTTGGTCCAACTCTGATTTCTATTTTACCTCCTCCAGATTCTTTGAAGGAGATAAGATGACGGACGAAAATCGGAATGGAAACTATATTCTGAGCACCGATATGGTAAGACATCAAACGAAAGTTTCCATCGGGAGGAATAAATGACAAAACTCTTTCAGATTCCCAACGTCTATACCTGACACAAGGATGGAAGCTCACATCATCAAATAATCGTGGATTAATAAACGATAAACTCAGATCAGGTAGCCCAGATAATTTGATTCCACAATCAATCTGTAAAAAAAAAGAAAAAGAGAGTGAGAATTGGGGGAAAACAGTCGTATAAAATACTTACATATCCTTGAATTTCGGCTGAAACAACAGAACCACTTTTATCAATAATGGCATCGATCTCTTCGGTACAATCAAAATAGGCCTCGTTGTTAGTATATTTTACACCAGCTCGACGCCAAGGTACATTTGACAGTTGCCCGGAAGGTAATGTTGCACTTACACTAAAAGGATTAGAAATTAACAAATTAGTAACATAATTTGAGGTCACAGGAGGAGATAAGTAGGGCAAGACTCATTTAAGACTTGATTAGCTTTTACTTGTATAATGGCTTAGATAGAGATCGGGTTGTATTTACTTACTTAGATTTTCCTGTAACAGTATTAGCAATCGTCCTTAATAGATTAGGAGGTTTTATAAGTTCTTTAAGTATATTTGATTCTGTTGCAAGGGGATAACCATTGTCCAGCATTTCATCGAGTAATTCATAGACAACGACATAATTTTCTTTGATCAGTGATTCCTTACAGTCACCAAAATAATCTGTAAATATATCGATAACTCGATGAAGAAATTCAACCACAAATAAAGGAGGAACCTCTTTACTGGTAATTGCTACAAAATATAATTGATTCCGATAAACTGAGATGATAAAATAATGTGGAGTTGCAATCACCGGTTTGACATTTGTTTTGTTGTACTTTTTCAGTGAGTCGAAAAAATAATCACAAACAGATTTATTGATAATTTTCTTCCAATGTTTCTGTAGAAATATATCTCTAAAGAGAAGGAAAAAAATAAAAACAGAGAAAGCAAGAGAACAAGAAAACAAGAAAACAATAAAATAAAAATTATATTCCATAAGGATGCCAAATCCAATTGAAGAGTCTTCAAAATGGTGCTGACAAATATTCATCTCTCATTGAGACAAAACTTACCCCAAATTGTCTATTATAAATAGACTATCAATCATGGTGATCAAATGTAATTAAACAACAATAAAAGGCAACACAATAAACAAAAACCAAGACAATTAATTAACAATTAAACAAAACAAATCAAAGAAAGTTAATCTTGCCATGTAAACATTGAATGCGAATCTTAATTAGTTAACAGCTGGTCTTCTTTCACTGGCGCCATCTTTTAGTTGATAAACGAACTAAAAAGATGAAAACAAAACTTGAGGATGAGAACTGAAAGTTTTGGGGAAAAAAGTGTTTACGATTAGAACAATTAACATAAGACGCTTTGAGACAAAGAAAGAACTGGAGAATTAAATTTGATCAAATTGTTAAATCAAAGAAAATGATTTAACCTTAATTGCCATCGAAATGGAGATTTCAATTTTCATATGATTTTCATGATTCTAAATTAAATTGCAAACGATAAATTGCCTCAGATCGATGAGTTAATTTTCTCCAATGAAAAGTAAATCTTTAAAATCTATTAAATTAGAATGTAAATTGTTTAAAAATTAAAATTAGATTATCAATATATCTCAATTGGAAAGGAAGAAAATAAATTGCTCAAGTTAAGATAATTATTTACAATTAAATGGACCAAAATGATGATAAACTGTTGGATAGATAAACAATTACAATTGTAAACAATTTAAACTGGAAGCAAGTTAATCATGATGATGAATAAAATGATAGCGATAAACAAAATAGCGAAAAATTAACAGAATAATTAAGAGACTAATCGTCATTAATTAGCAACCCATTTAAAAAGGGAAATCGTCAAATTGATTGTGACTATCAAAATAATATGAACACAGGAATACAAATTGTTGGTGTATTATGATTATGAGGCAGATCATTATAATTGTTGCTCAGTGGAGGATAACCTAAGCTCCTCCCATCGCAGTGGGAAATGCAATAAACAAGAGGTGATATTTTTGTTCCCGCCTGTTATTTTAGCCATTCCCATTTAGTGCTTAGGATTGGCAACATTTACTCACATTCTGTCAACCGTTTACACTTGAAATGTTGAATCATTTGAAAGATGAATTTACAAGATAAACTATCGCTCGTAAACTAGTTGATCATTGGAAATTATCAACAGCAATTAGCGACACATCCAACTTATTTAAACGACTCTAATCATCTCTTAATTGTTATTTATTTGCAAACCTGATTGTTTTCTGATTTTGTTTCTGTTTTCATTTCCACTTTCCCAATCATAATTGTATCTTAATTATCCTCATGCTCAGTGCTTCATGTTATGATCTGTTATTATATTATTTTCATCATTGATCATGTTTAAATTATCAACCAATTCTAATCCAACTGCACCAACAGTAACAATCAACAACAATAGTTCAAGTAAATTTATAATCAATAATAGTAACGGTGAAAGTGTTAATTGTAACAATCCTGTTATCAAAAGTGAAAGTGATTGTAATAATAATAGTGATGGTACCAATAGTAACCTCGGGAATGGTACAAACAGTAATAACAACAGTAACTCGACGACACCATTTGAAAATGAAATAACCAATTTAAGTAATAATTCAGTGTCATCACCACAGAAACACAATTACTCAACCTCATCACCAACTTCATCACCTTCGCCCTCATCGTCGCCCAAAGCCCAGGCAACTTCATATCGTATCAGTGACATACTCTCACGATCAACAACCAACGGAAGCGTTGGTGGAGTAGGTGTTAATCACCACAGTTTTCATCATCTTCATCATCCTTCCTCAATGGCGGCTACTTCAGCGGCTTTGTATTGGAACTCAATGGTTCAAAATCAAGCTCTTTGGAAAGAGAGACTAGTGTGTGCCTCTATTAATGCAGGAGGAGTAGTAACAGGAGGTGGTGGTGTCGTTGGGTCAAGTGTCATCGGTGTCCCTGGTCGTCCTGGCCATCACAATCAAACAAATCCTCTAAACCATAACCAACATCATAATCAACATCACCAAAACAACAACCATGCCAATAATAATAACAATAATAATCATCATAATCATCACCATCACCACCACCATGGTATACCTGTGGTCAATCAGAATCTAAACAACTTGACCATCGGATTAGTTGAGAAAGATGGTAAACGTAAACATACTCGGCCGACCTTCTCAGGTCAGCAAATTTATATTCTTGAAAAAACTTTTGAACAGACCAAGTATTTGGCTGGACCAGAACGCGCCAAATTGGCCTATGCTTTAGGTTTGTCTGGTGATCAAGTTAAAGTTTGGTTTCAAAATCGACGAACCAAGTGGAGGAAAAAACATGCCGCTGACATGACAACAGCCAAGAAAATGGCTTAACCATCATAACTTAACAAGATGAACATTGAATCGTTATTAGAATCACAATAAACAAAACACATTATTAACTCATTTAGTACATAAACACGTAGCTATTAGTTAATCCGGAGACAGAGTAATTAATATAATCTCAACAATATCGACAAAATTTTCATTAAATTGTGTAAAAAATTGAACCCAAATTAATTACTTTGATCTTCAATTAACTGTAACTTGCAATTGTCCTCAAATAAATCAAGCCTTTTTTGCTAATTGCTTATAATTAACTATTATTTGGTTAATTATTTTAATGTTTTTCTCTATTCCCATGTACCATGTCCCTTGTAAGAAAAACAAATCAAAATTAAATTGAAAGAGTTTCAATCACAACACAAGTTCAATTACAATCGACACAATTTTTTCTCATTTTCCTTTCGATTATTGGTAAAAAAATCGATCAATCTACTTCAACACTCTGATCAAAAGAAATCAATTGACTAACAAATATCTATTAATTGATGACTCTCGATCTAAATTGCCTCGAAATGATTTGATTTCGAATGATTCTCCTCTAATCTGGCCTTAAACAATATTTTCTGACTTCGAATCGACTCTTCAAAGTGATTCCCTGATAATCCCACGAATCGTAATACCGGTTGAACTTAAACAAATTATCCTTCTAAGTGTTTAACAAAATTTTCCATTATAAGGATATTGTCCAAGCGTAATTTTAGTGCTAAATGAACAATATCACGATGATTTCGTCAATATATTTAACTGATTTGAAACAACAGATTACGAGTATGAATCGTTGAGTAGTTATCCTTTCCTCTTCCTGTTTTCCTATTCTTAATTTAATTTAATTGGTTAAGTCCAATTATTATTTAGACTTTCTGGAAACTTAAATTGGTTTGGAAAAGTAATTATAAATTTACCTGAGAAAATTATCAAATTATTCACTGGCTCTTAAAGCTGCTAATTAAGGGATAATTAAGTTGTTTTTGTTTAACTAAATTAAACAACAATTAGTTTATTATTGTCAACAGCAATTTTACTACTCTTTTATTTGATCAGTTATAAAATTCCTTAAATTTGTATAAATTTTGCAACTCACATTAACAATCAATTATTAATAGATAGATTAACTTACCTTCAATTGATAAACATAATTTACAATTAAACTTTCATTTTAACCTAAATTGTGATTCTTTTAAATTATCAATAAATATCAACCATCTGAATGGATTGATAAAGAAAGAAGCAAAAATGAAGTGTCTAAAGTAAAAAAGACAAAATTTGTGAACTTTAGAAAGACAATTAGAAAATGAACCCAAAGACAAATTAGCAAAACAATCAACATTAATTAATCGACTTGGAGGAAAAAAAGTTACAAACAATTATCAAAGCGATTAAAAGCAATCTAAATACAATTTAATTATGGAAACGAGTACAAAATTATCAAGTGTTTCTCATTGGTGACAAATAATCATGATAATAATTGGAATAACATGAAATGATAATGAAGATGAAGATAAAGATGATACTTTATTAGAGAGGATGATCTATAAAGAAATGAAAGAGAGCCAAGAAGGTAAAGAAAGAAAGAGAGAGAGAGAGAGAGAGAGAGAGAGAGAGAGTTCAAGACATACTCCGAAAGAATTGAATCAATATAGTCGAAAAGTATTATTATCATCTTCCAAGCTGAATGCTCTCCATTGTTCAAACTCAATGATGGCGATATTATCAGTCTAAAATGGTGGAAAAAGACTCCACCCTTGCGTTCAACTTTAACCAACTCTAATTTGTTCCCACCCAGAAGCATTTAAGCTCATCCCACCGCCACTTACTTTCGCCATCAACTCATCATCATTATTATGATTATGATTATTATCAACATCCTTCAATACCCAAAGGCAAATTACATGGTAACTCTGGTGAATCATTTTTATTTGTTAACCTCAACTTGATAAACTTCATCAAAAGTCACATTTTCTTGCGATTTTGATTCACTTTCAGTTTTATCAACTCTAACGCTCTCTCGTAACAATTAACTTTGATTTTTTTACCGTTAGATTAGTTAGTTCATCGGCATGTTGATCAGTTTCATCTTGTTTGCTATTGATTGTTTTAGTTGATTAGCTGTTTGTTTTTCTAATGAATTCTGATTGAAATTATGTTTCTTTCATCAAATGATAATAACGATAACAGTCATGATAATAATATTATAAGTAATAACTTATCACTAGAAGATGGACTGGTCAATCGTTCTGCTTCATCTTTAGTGAAAAGTTATTCATCTTCTTCACCATCTCCATCATCATCATCATCATCATCGTCGTCTTCCACTTCATCTTCACCCGGAGCTTTTGCAACCCCTCATGGAATCAGTGATATCCTCTCTCGTCCTTCAGCTCTCAATATTTCATCTTCATCTTTAACGTCGCCAATTGTAACTACAGCGACAACAACTCCACCAACAAACTTTTCCACCCTTTCCTCATCCCTACATCCACATCTCAGTCAACCATCACTCCCTTCAACTCAGGATCATCCTGCTGCAGCCATGGCTGCATCGGCTGCCTTAAGTTCATCTTTTGCAGGAACTTTACCTCGATTTTCAATAGGAACCACTGGTGATGTTTATTTTCCAACTAATGGTGGACTCCATAAGTTTGCGAATTCGCTTTATTGGAACTCGATGGTTCAGAGTCAAGCTCTTTGGAAGGATAAATTGGTTGGAACTGTAGTTGCAAGTGAAGGTTTAAATGTTCTTGAAGGACGAGGTGATGAAGAAATGAAATGTGAAGGTAATGTAGAAAAGTGCAAAGGCAGAGGGAGAGGGAGAGGTAATGGTGTCAATGCTGGGAACGATGGAGAAAGTGAGAGAAATGCAAATATCTCTGGAGGAAGTTTATCGATTCCTCATCAACCACATCATCTCCATCATCACCACAGTGTCCATGGGATTGTTCCCAATGGTCTTGCAAGTGCTTTAACAGGACTACTTGATAAAGAGAGCAAAAAGAAACACACTCGACCAACATTCTCCGGTCAACAGATTTACATACTTGAGAAAACTTTCGAACAAACAAAATACTTAGCTGGACCTGAGCGAGCGAAATTAGCCTACGCATTGGGAATGTCCGAAAGTCAGGTCAAAGTTTGGTTTCAAAACCGACGAACGAAATGGAGAAAAAAACACGCAGCCGATCTCGCCACCGCCAAGAAAAGACACACTTCCGAAGTCGATTCAATATGTTCATGAAATTGTCTTCATTTAATCTTCACCATTTTCCTTTCTCATCAAAATGTTCAATAATCATCATCATGTAATAATTGATTTCATCTCCATCTTCATGTTCACTTGAGCTTATTTTCTCATCTTCTGATTAGATGATCAAATCACTGATTCAATTGTATGTATCATCAACGATCACATTTCGTTGATATTTTGTTGCTCTACAATCAAAATATAATAATAATCGTCAATACGATAAACGATGCAATCTGTAAATCTATTAATCGTTTAAAATGATGAAATTAAACAGAAAACCTCATATCCTTATTATTGAAAAGAAATAAATTCTCTATAATAATTTGAATTATTAATAACAATCAAACCTCAAACTACTGATTTACAGGTGAGTATCGAGAACAAGTTAATCACAATCAATAATGTTCAATGATTTACAAGCCAATCAATCATTTGAGGATATAAATTGTTATAATCAACAGGAAAGGAAATAGTGATTATTATTATTATGATAAATATCCTCACTTGGGATGAAATAAAATCAAGTAAATAACGATAATGATTAAAGTTTATAACCATTGATCTTAATCAAAAGCGAGTTGATTACCACAATTTATTGGATAATCATAAATGTTAAGGTTTACTTTTTATCCCTTTACTTTGGTTTATCATTGTTCTGGTCAAGAGAAATCATTTATCACCGAGTTCAGGTCAATAGGAGATGATGAAAAAGAAGATGAGGAAGATAAAAAGGAAGGTAGAAGATTAGAAACATGAAGATGAGGATGAAAAAGGAGGAGTTTGATCATATAGAAAGAGAAAATCTAATAAATCAGTTATCTTGTTCATATTAATGGAATCACAACTTTCATATTATCTGTTTTAGTTTTATTCCTGTTGATTGTTAACTTAATCATGATCAAGAGACAATTGATCACAATGACGGTGACATTGATTATGTTTATCTATTATTTCCTTAATTCGTATGATCAATGATTTGAAAATCTTAATTAAACTCGATTCAATGGAAAACAATGTTCCTTTGTTTTCAATTATTATCCTTAAATACAATGTATCTAATATATTAATTGTTATTCATTCAACAATGATACAAAGTAAACTGGTTGTATCATCAGCTTAAATCAATCCAGTTGATTAACGTTGATATTGATCATCTATTTATGATATCAAATAATTTCCATCATTTATTAAATGTACTAAATAATTATAATGATGAAGATCAATTCAAGACATTCATGAGTTTTATTGATTAACCAAATCAACCAAGGAAATTTCTATTCCGATTGTTGATTAATCTAGATAATTAATGAGTCTAAAGCTTTTCAGACTGATCAATATTGAATGTGAGCATCATTCATATGGGTAAATAAATGGCACTGTTTCTATTGCTTCGACTGAAAAATGCGATGCACTTAATTTACATATTGAAGGTCAAAGGCTTAGGATCATTGGTGACATAGCGTTCTAAACCTGAATCGATGAATTCATCATTTCCAAATTCGATTTACCTGTTATATTGTTGTCCATGATATCATCTCGAAATTATCAGAGGAAATCCATTGCGTTCAAAATCTTGATAGATTGCTTTGATAGAAGTCGTCGAATATGAATTCATTTTCATTTCATTATGATTCTATAGTTTATTGAATGATTACACACAATGATATGTCTTCAATGACTATAAGCGTTCTCAGAATTTATTGAAAATTTTCTTAGGAATTATTATTCGTATAGAGACCACACCTGAGAATATCTGTACAATTATGGGTACGATGGGCGAATTCACTTGTCCTCAATCGATATCCAAATGACCTTGAGAAGCTTGGAATTTGCTTTATTGCTTGTTAGTTTTTGTAATATCAGAGAAAATTTTTGTCAATTGATTAAGTTTAAATTAGATTAGAATTGATTAGCAGATAAAATAATTGAGCCTCAAAGCAAAAACTATTGTCATCATTGATTAACAGTTAGTGAAAGTTAAATGTATCACCCAAATACAAAGTAGTAAAGTCAATGTGTTGATTTGGATGTAAAAAGTAGATTGAAAATAAAAGGCAAATGGTTTATAATGTTAAGAGGATAAAGATGATGACAATAGGAAGATGGAGAGGAGGAAGATGAGGATGGAGAGAAAAGTAAGAGAAAAATGTTAAAACCAAGATTAAAGGTACAAAATGAGTTTGAATTGATCGGTTTTAATGGGGATCATGATGATGATGATGAGAAGGATAATCCTCTTAACACAAACAGTGTTTCGAGTCAATTGATTGACAAGCAATTGAATGAAGTTAAAAAGTTATTCGAAAGCCAATTGAATGGATAACTGTTAATCTAATAGATTATTAAAATATCATTGAACAGAAAATGTAAAAGTCTCTTGTTCATTGATGAGTATCACTGAATGAGAAGCAGATGCAAAGTGGGAGTCACCAGGAAGATGATTTAGATTGGATAACCAATTAATTGATTGACAGTTAAATCAGAATGATTACAGTTTAAATCGATTCTTTTCACTCTCTCTCTCTCATCGGGTATTAATTGTTTCATGATTAATGAACAGTTTCCATAGTTTGATACTTGTTACTTTCATCTGGATGAATTTCTGAATCTGTTGATGATAAATAATGCAAACAATTGATTATAATGATTATGATTATAATCCTATTTTGATTAGATTGGTTAACAGAAAAATAAATTAGACTTTATCATTATCCTCACTTAATCACAGGAATTAAGGTCAGACTAGATTGAGTGTAAAGTGTTTTCAGTTTCATGGTTATAATGCTTGACAAAAAAAGAATCTGTCAACTTAATCAGATCCATTTTTTACTTTTTATCATCATCATGATCAAAATTTCAACATTGAGATTAACGTTAATCCCTAGATCGAGATTAAGATTGTGATTGTATCATTTTGCTGGAATTGTAAATGTTTTTTTACACTCACAATGATATTAGTTTATCCTTGGAATTGATAAAACTTTTTCTCTCATTATTATGTCACTTGATTCAATCGAAATTGTAATTTGATCAAGTTTAAAACAGCAATTAAATCCTTAATTCTTATTATCTGCTCATTAATTGCTAATGAAATTTGCATAATTAATTGATTACTATTATAATAATTCTTTACTCAATTAATCATTTATAGTTTTTGATGTAAATTTACATACATTTGATTTTGTTCATTTGTAAGTTAATAATGTAATGATAATAATAGATTACCGAGAATGACCATCAATTTATTTGCTCAATTGGTCAATTTTTAAATCACTTGGATGACCTTAGATTAACTTTGCTTACAAATCATTTTGCTGACCATTCATTTAGTATAACAACAAATTGTAACAATCTAAATGCTTCCTTTTTCTCCTCTTCAACTTTTCCTCTCTCTTTGTTTCCTCTTCGCTCGATGTTCAAACCATGTCACTATTACGAACCTGATTCACTTGATTAGACTTAATTTGTTTCATTAAAATTATTTTCGCTCCCTTTCTCCTTCTCCATGTAACCATGATAAAAAGTTCATCTCACCTCTATCAACATCATCTACACATCATCATCATCTTAATCTTCCTCATCATCACCAATGGGTCAATTGATTTAATGTCAAATTCTGAATCTTGGAGCTCTCTCTCTCTCTCTCTCTCTCTCTCTCTCTCTCTTTCTCCATATCTGAAATCTGAAGCTAATACATCCAATGATTCAGATATGGGAGTGTGATGGTCAAAAAAACTATGATTCAACAACTAAGACCTTTGACTTTCACTTTTACGCCTTATTGGATTGTTACTTATAACTGAATGGCCGATGCTCTTTGATTATGATTTTTTGTTACCATCCAACTATTATTTTCAATGCTTGACCATTAGAACTGTTGGACAATTTTTTTCTTTCAGTTTCTTGATTCTGATTCTGATTATTATTATTATTGATATAATATCATTGGTACAAGTTGATCGCTTGTTTTCAAGTTTGTTGAACAATAATTTCTTGATACCTTGTTGGAATCAAAATCATATAATGTATACAGAAAGGAAACTGATTATAACAGCAAACAGTAATAACAATAATCCGAGCTCGAAATGTAAACAAATCAATCATTCAAACTTGAGTTTTATTGTATTACAATTATTAAATTGTCAATTACATTTGCTTTAATATGGATTAATCATAAAAAAATTGTTTCATCAAATGATAAGGTAATAAAGCAATATCTTTTGATTGCTGTAATTTAATCAAGAGAAAGAGGAAAAGGTAAAATTAACTAATATTAATTAATTATCTAACAGGATAATCAGTTAATCAACTAATTTGGGATTAATTATCTTTCATAATTTTAAATTGTGAGCAACTTTAATTTATGATGAAAATTGGAAGACAAAAAAGTTGTGAATTTTTTAGCAATTCATTCAATCCTGTGGTCGTTTATTATGAATTTTTCCATGTTTTTCATGAGAATGAGAAGGATTTTCGTTAAGTGAAGATGAAATGATGATAATGGTGATAATGATGATTATCTAAGGATCTTTTTAATGATGATGATATGAACGAGCATCATTATTATTATTTTCATCTTGATCTTCTTTTTTGCTAATATGATCAAGACCATCATCTATAAATCATTCGATTCATCTTCATCTTTATCTCCTTTCCTTTTTTTCGCACTTTCCTCCATTGTAACCACCTTTTTTTCATCATCCTCCTCTTCATCTTCATCTTTATTTTCATCACCATTTCTCTGCCCTCTTCCTATGAAGTTGATAGACTGGGTTGTGAAAGATGTTACAAGATCTTCAACAACAAGAGATTGAGAAAAAACAGAAAGATAGAAACTGAAGGCGGAGGAAAAAGATGGAGATAAAGATGAGGATGAAGAGTAGGAGGGAATGGAAAATTGTTAGAATGTGAAAAAAGGACATTGAGATAAATGAGGATGATGAAGATCAAATTGATCTCCGTCATTAAGGTTGCGCATTTGTATCGATGTCTCGAGAGATAAATACAAATATAAACATGATTTTCCTTCCTCTTTCTGAAATTCATATTATTTACGAACCAAATTGATTTCTGATTATTATTAACCCAAAATTAATCAATAACAATCAGGATTCCAATGAGTTGACCATCACAATAACAAAGTCAAAAGTTTAAGTTATTTTTTAACTAATTGGTTTACTAATTAGACTGCAATTGATTTTAACACTTTGATAATGTGATTGACTTTATGATGATCATCATTTTACATGGATGGTTATTGTCAAGTTGTCACCGATGAAACAATTTAAATTGTTGTTAA